ACGTGACTGGTTGTAGCTCACTGGTCACCACTTCGCACTAGAATTCCAGGAAACTCCGTCCTGCAGAAACTCACTAGAGAGCGTCAGAGAACTTTTCAAGACTTGGTTTGTAAGGTTTAGATTTGTTCTTACGATTTTGACCACGGAATTCACACCGATTATATTGGTTGTTGGTCGCGATAAATCACTAGTTGAAAGAAGTTAGAATTCATAGACTGGTCATTGAATTCGGTCCCTGTGGCTGAACTGTATACGAGCCAGCTTCTCTTGTAACCGGAAGCTCCTGAGTTTTAATCCCAGTGTGGTGGATGCGTACTGCCAATGATTCGCAAACTAGGACGGAGGGAACAACTGTCCAGTACTTCCTGCTGGTTCTCACTGGTTCTCTAACTGATATCAATCTGTGGTCAAACTAGTAAAAACTAATATTACCACTACGCACAATACTACTCGCACTACTATGTTACTACTACTACTACTACTGTAACAGCAGAAGGCAAGACATGCAAGCCAAGGTATATTTTCAACTGATCAAACCGCTATCTACATAACATATGCAGTTATGTTCTTTAGCCAATCACTGAGCGTATGATTTCGGTTTACATTAAACAACATGAAATAGAATGTTCAAATAAAAAAATATATTCAGTGTTCTGTTGCTACGGCAGTATTGAACGGTGGGAATATGTGAGAATAATATTCCGTTAGAACACATTGTCTGTATCACACCGCCACATTACCACTAATACTCATGCTATTGCCACTACCTTCACTTCTCTAGACAGGTTCGCTTGAAATATTTAGGCGACAACACTGATGAAGATATCAAATCTAAGATTGGAAAGTCAAGGCAGACATTCATCCCCATGATATCAGTTTGGAAATCTGTTGCACTGAGAAGAAAGAAGAAAAGTGGAATTTTGAAAACTGATGTTCAATCAGTTCTTCTGTATGGATCAGAATCTTGTTTAATCACGAAAAGCACTTCTGACAGGCTATTGCAGACTTTTATCAACAACTGTCGTCTTCGCTGTCTCCATAGTAAAGATAAGATGGCTGATAATCGGAAAGAATTAGCAAACAAGAAACTCTAGGAACGAACCAATCAGGGACTTACTGCTCAGAAGATATTCCGAAGAAAACGGAGGTGAGTCGGAAACACACACTGAGGAGATGGTTAAGTACAATCGCGCACCAGGTCATCGCTCGACTGAAACCCAAATGTGAGGCAATTGACGAGATGTGCTTGGGTCCAAGGGTGACATGGAGGAGATAGTTTAGGGTTAGCTAAAGATGGTGGCAGAGACTAGAACAAAGTGGAAATGTGCTGTCGTAGCCCTTTTTTCCATTCGAAACGCAAGAGAATATTAATATGCTAATGACGCTAGCACTACTCAGGGTAATACCAGCACTCAAACTAGTACTCATACTCCCACTACTTCTGCTTCTACTTTTAGTAGTAATATGTGTAGTTCCGAGACATAAATCTAATTGATGAAAACTATAATATATCATGAAGCGTACTTATTCAACATAATCAGCTCTAATATATGTCATTATACTCTCAAACTAAAGTACTTTGTAATTCCATATTAGTTTGAGGGACTAAATTTCAATGCAAACTAATATGGAATTACTTACTACCTCCTTGCCCAAGTTATACATGTATATTAATATGACTTATGGTCTTCCTGTACGAAGACTTATCAATAAACTCACTCGACTTTCACAAATTGAAGCAAGATATGAAAATCATCGTATTTTCAACATTCGATGCCTTAAAACTGAAATCATTCCTAAATATCTACGTCTACGAGCTCCAGTTCCAACGGACAGAGTTAGAAGCAGAATAGAAGGCCTACAAAAATTATGCATGAAAGAAGAAATCCACAGAATCGTTAAAAAGCTGCAACATATCAAATCTGAAATTGAGCAATTAAAACAAAAGATAAAAGGAATAGTTACCAATGCAGATTATGATCTTATAACACAGTCCTCCAGCATTGCAAAATCAGCAACTTTCAAAAAGTCAAAAAATAGTCAAATCAAAAAGTTCAACAAATTATTAGAAGAGAAATCTTCATCTCAGAATGATGAAGTCAACAATCCAAAGTCAACGGCGATCGATAAATCAAAGTGGGTTATCAATCTCTCAACACATACATTAAGTCCTACGGAAATAAGTGTATTAGAAAAGGGACTAAATTTCAATGTATCTGTAGACAAGCTGAAACCTGAGGATGTCATCCCTAAAATAGAAATCGCACTAAGTTGGATAGACAAAACTATGGCTGATGAAGTACGGGCACAATGTGCACTAACATTAAAACGACAAAAATGTGGAAAGCCTAACCTGACAAAATAAAATAAAATACTTTGTATTTTCATACCTTCCAAATACAAATTATTACTTCGACTTTGACTCAATGAGTGATATTAAAGTAAGAGTTTATAATAGATACTACGGTGAAATGACCTTGAACCAGCCAATCATATGCTTCTAGGTAAAAGTTGCACTTCCTATATATGAATGAAAAGCTAAACTATATTGTTTCTACTGACGTTTCACTACTTAATGCTAATAGCTTTATCAAAGTGGTGATATTAATCCGGAATTTACAAAAGCTCAGCTTATATATAACAGCTTAATCAACCTGGATCATTATGGTGTCATTTTTGCGTTGTCAAATTGGCTAATTGGCAATGATAACAAGACCGTATATATAGATTCTTGGATTTGATAAGTGTGTAAATTTGTAAAAGTAGCATGTGTTTACACAATGAAATTGCTTATCACATTCGTGTTGATTTTATCATTTCCTGGAGAGGGTGTGTGAGTGTTGGAACCAGGTCAAATTCTGTTTTAGTCCATCATTCCTATTCAGACAATTTGGATTCCATTTGATATGAAGTGCTTCTGATATGAGATTTTCTTTGTGATTTCTGAAACTTTTCTGGATTATTTCAATATTGTCAAAATCAATTTCATGGTCTGATTCCATGGCGTATAGACCTATTGCTGACGATTTTTCAGATGGACTTTTCGCTGCTCGAACAGATGCTCTACGGTGTTCGTTTCTTCTGATTTTGTTTTCTCGAGATGTTTGTCCGATGTATATCGCATCACATTCCAAGCAAACATTTTATTTTATAGACACAATTAGATAGAGAATCTTTAGAGATTTGGTCTTTTATATGGACAAGGTTGTTTCGTAGTGTGTCTGATAATTTGAAGAAAACTCTTATTTCGAGCTTATTGAGTACTCTTCTGATATCTATCGTCTGACGTCTCTGCTCTATATGGAATGACAACTGTTGAGGAGGTCCATGTTTTCAGAATACATTTTCGACCATACATAATGTCTGTGCTGATTTCCCTGATGAAGTTCTATGGGTATCTATTTTACTTGTGAGTCTTCGTTATGTTTGATATTTCTACTTCTTTTTTTTCTCATCCGTTATCAGAGAGTATGCTCGTCTAAAAAGACCCGAAATAACTGATACTTTTGCGCTGATGGGGTTTGATGGTCTGAAGTCTAAATATTTGTTGCAGTGGGTTTTCTTCTTCAATACAGATATACTAAAGATAGTCTAGTTACAAGGCAAGTTCGTAGACAATTCAGGTATTGACGCCCATTTTAATGACTCATGAATTCTAACTTCTACTAATATCAGTTTCACTGGGATTGGGGAGTGAGGCATATTCAGTGGTGTGAGAGAAATATGAACAAACTAATGAGGTGCACTGAAAGTAATTTCGAGGGCTGATAGATCACAAATATAATGATAAAATAAAGTGATCAAATAGTGAACTGTGATCGAATAAGAGAGATAAGATAAGCTTGGGTGAAAATTTCAATCAACTTGCTTCCTTTGTGACTGGAAAGTCTTGGTTTCTAACCCTGCTGGATGGCATTGAGGAGTCCGAAACAAGGACGAAACACACATCGAGTACAGCTTGCTAGTTTTCAGGCCTTTTTTAACTGACATCATCAATCCGTGATCAAAGTTGAGAAACAAACTAAGCCCCTACAAACTAACACTTGAAAATTATTATTATTAGTAGTAGTTTTATGTCTCGCCTAAATAACATTTCTAAAAATTAGTATCGAACATACTCAAAAATGCACCCACACACATACACACACAGACATGTACACAGACACACTTATTCAATCATTCCTTCATTCATACTCTATCATCCATCATTTATGATTATGATTTAATGACTTTTATGAATTTAAATTTTTATGCATTCATCTTGTTTGAGCCTTGAAAACATCATAAAAGTGGCACATAGAAACACTCAGACAGGCACGCACACACACGCACAGAGTGAAACGATAAAATCTCACAATCTGTTGTTATGGCAAAAATGTAAACCTGTGGTGGAAATAGTTGTATTAGTATTATCATTAATAGTAATGGCGTTTTACGCTAACTCACTCACCCACTCACTTATGCAATCAGTCGCTCACTCACTTACTCGACAAACCAACCAAGTATGTAAATGAATGTTTATGGCTTTCTCTTTGTTGCTAAGTGTAGACATTGAAACATTCATTCCTCCCCTCGCCTTCCAAACACCCACCCCCCGCTGTCACCACCACCCTTAAGAGAGAAGCTCAGTTTTACTCTTTTTCAGAAATGATTAAGTAAGAAGTTATGAAATGCACCACTTTTTATTAAAATAACTGGTAATAAAGACAAACTGAAATCTCAGATTTACACCAATCACAATGTAGGTACACTATTTACTGCTCATGATTGATTGATTGACTGGTTGATTGATTTACTGCATGTTGTACGTCTGTGCATCTGTGCTGTGTTTCGATTTGTGTGCAGTAATGGTGTATGATTATTATTATTAAGGTGTGCAAGTGAGTTAGCCAGCCATGAGTGAGTGAGTGAGTGAGTGAGACAGAGATAAACAGAGAGGTAGGGTGTCTGTTGTGTGTGTGTGTGTGCGTGTGTTGGTATGTGTGAGTGTGTGCTTACATGCATAAATAGATTACGGAAAGTATTCAGTCTGATATACATATAATAATAGTTTGTCTTTTTTCAGAGAGAAAAATTTCAGTATTTTTGAATCATTCTACAATCGAACTTGATCTGTAGCACGAAAAACTTCAATTCTTCTAACCACTAAATTTGTCTAACAGTCCATGGAGAGTCGTAGTGCAATGATTCAACAACGCAGGCCATCAGTAAGATTATATAACTTATTTTATTAATAATTTTATTGATTGGTTTTTTGGTTATTTGAAAAATTCGTGAATAATCTCTATCTAAGTAATAGTGAAAAAAATAACGCACAAAACAGGTAGTTAAGTGATGAGACTATTTTCAGTGGATTCATTTACCTCTTTAGCTGTACAGTTGCTTTTAGATACAATAATTTTACAAAATAGGCCTGGGTTCCAAGCGGAACATAGGACAACAGATAACAGCACGTTCTCTGCAGTCTCCACGACTGACCATAGTCTGTCATCTACTTCCACTCACACGATCGCCTCCATGTCACCTTCACACACACACTCACCAAACCCGTTGTTTCCCACTCAAGTTTAACTCGAGTGGTAGCTTAGGAAGCGATAGTACCCAATGATCTGCTCAGTAACTGTCCAATCCATCTCCATTTCCTTCAGCATATTTGTTCACCAATAGATCCTTGATTGGTTCGTTCCCAGAATTTTTCGTCGCTAAATTTTTTCCGATTATTATCAGCCATCTTATCTTTATTATGGAGCCAGTGAAGAAGGCAGCTGTTAATGAAAGTTAGCTGCTGTCTGCCATGTTTCTGACCCACATAGAAGTGCTCACTGACTTAATACTGATGGTGAAAATCAGAATTATTTATTCTAAGAAGAGTGATGAAGGTCTGTCATGCCTTTCAGATCCTGTCTCTGTCTTTGATATCCTCATCTGTGTGTGTCACCTCCTGTTTTGAAATGATGGCACCTAGATAAGCGAAACAAGTGACCTCTTTCAAATTTCTCTCGTCGACAGGGATTTATGTGATTGTTGTCATTAATTGGTTATCTTTATCACCTTCGTCCTCCAACTGAAGTCCTGTCTTTGTTGTTTACATCTTTAGACAGTTTGTTGGCTTTTGCTTGTAAGTCTTCGAGTTTATGTGACATTAGACATTTATCTAATCCGCGAAGTTCAAATAGTTGAGTCCTCTTTTCGCTCCAACATATTCCTATTTTCTTGATCCTCAGGCAATTTCTTGCATAATTCCATCCAACTAAAAGTGACACGTTGTCACAATCATAGTTGCTGATATTAATAAATACATAAAAGGAGTCCAATAAGCGCACTAAAATTACTCAGTAAGACTACTAATTTAATGAATGAACTATAATCAGGATGAGAATTGTAACGAGGGAGACTGTGATACCACGTGAGAGTTAAAAAGAAATACACGAGTTTCAATGAGTTAACATAACAAACAAGCATAAAATAATAATAATAATAATAGTAGGAGTGGTTGAACAATTTCATTTTGTATGTATACCTCCAGTTTTTCTAAATGAAAGCCTAAGGCCTCAACAATGCCAAGAAGACGAAAGCGTACTAACTTTGGCAGATTGTTCTTCAATTTGAAGAAGGAGGAGTTTGTTAAGAAGCGATGTTTGATTATCTCATTCTTTATAAAGCAACCATTGTTACCTTTCTGTAACCACTTAGGAGGATAGTGTTCTTGAAGCCTTTTAGAGAGGATACTCGTCGAACGATCACTATATCTTGCTTCACAGGAACAGACGAACTGATGATATTTATATACACATAGAAGTGGTCAGATGTGACGTCTGATCTTTCAGACTTCATCTGTTAGGGATATTGCAGGTTAAGTCCCCCTTGAAATCATACAAATAATGTTTCGTTTCCCTGAACTTTTAGTTTGATATTCTTGTCAGTGAATCTAGTTGGGTATACATTTTGAAAAAACAACAGATTGAGCGAAGAAATATGCATTCCTCTTCAGTTTGTTCCTCATCGTCAGCTGGCTCTACAATATAATACGTAGTTTCTTTTACACCAAAATTTTGCCAATCATGTGGTTCCATTATGGGTAAATTTTATTTTGATAGAGTCTCACAGTGTTATACACTAATATTTACTGATGACGTTTCGAGCACAATTTATTGCTCATAATCATATCAAGGTAATCACACGACTTCCTAAATTCATTTATACAGTTCCATTGTTTTTCACTTGATTTGATTGGTAGTATTATTTTCCATATTTCGGGTATGAGTGATGATTCATTCCTATTGCATGTGTTGGGTTTAGATTCGATGAACAAGGATTCAGTAATCAACCTCTCTCTCCACCTACCTAGATTACTTTTTAGAATTTTAACTCTCTCCTACCCTATTGTGTGGTTGTGTGTTAATGCATGCATTGCAATCGCCGAGCGTTTTTCTAAATTACTTATCTTCTCTGGGTCAACGATTCTTACCCTAGCTAAATTCTTATGTTCTGACAATCTGACTACTCCTGACCTACTAGTTTGACCTATGTAGTTGACTTAACTCAGAGTCATTGCAGGGTATTTTGTAAATTATATTATTTTGTCTAATTGGGTCCACTGGGTCCTTTAACCTACAGAGCTTGTCCCTGAGTGAGTTCGTAGGTTTAAATGCCACCCTAATTCCTGCTTTAAAGGACATAAGAACATAAGAATTTAGAAAGGGTAAGAATCGTTGACCCAGAGAAGATAAGTAATTTAGAAAAAAGCTCGGCAATTGCAATGCATGCATTAACACACAACCACACAATAGGGTGGGAGAGGGTTAAAATTCTAAAAAGTAATCTAGTTAGGTGGAGAGAGAGGTTGATTACTGAATCCTTGTTCATCGAGTCTACGCCCAACACATGCAATAGGAATGATTCATCACTCATACCCGAAATATGGAAAATAATACTACCAATCAAATCAAGTGAAAAACAATGGAACTATATAAATGAATTTAGGAAGTCGTGTGATTACCTTGATATGATTATGAGCAATAAATTGTGCTCGAAACGTCATCAGTAAATATTAGTGTATAACACTGTGAGACTCTATCAAAATAAAATTTACCCATAATGGAATTACACTCTACCACAGTGCCCAAGTTTTATTCTTATATCAACAATAAAGTGGTTATTTTAGTCCATCACTTTTAGGTATTAGGAGGGTGGGATGAAATTTAAGGGGTTAAAAGTCATCAAAACTAATAACTAATAGACGTTAGTAACAGGATATCTACGTTTTGAGGTATGGAGGATTAAAAATTAATTACGGAATTCAAGAAAAGTTAATTCTAAGTCATTAGGCACAAGTCGTTACATAATCAAGAAATTAGTAAAATAGCATTGATGACTCAGAATAATTACATCAAATACAAACTGTAAAAATAATAATAAAATCAAAATATAGTTACAAGGAGTGGGGAAAAGTCGTTCTTAAAAGACTTAACACAAATTATGTAGTTGGCCATGGCAAAGAAAGGCGCTGTACAAATTTCTTTTGAAATCGTGGAAAATACCCATCGGGATATTAGAGAGAAAAGAACAAGAAGTTCAGCAAAGATATCTGTCTTTTCGGCAATCTCATTTTCAAAAGCAGCTGTACAATCGCATTTATATACATTAGTTTACATGGATACAATTATTATCTATTTATTTAATTCCACATAGTAATGAAGGAGATAATAATTTTCAACTTGATATGAAAGTTTGAAGGTACGAATATAGATTACAAGCAGCTTAGAGACAAGATTGCATAGGATTAGAAAACAGTTACAACGTGTGCAAAATTAATATTTGATAACTGGAGAAATAATTTTAAAGGCGATAATTATTTTCAACTTGATATGAATTACAAGAGGCTTAGAGACGAAAGTTAAGCAGGGATGGAACGAATTACAGGTATGAACAAAATGAGCATGGAAACAAATTGAAGCCAAAATTTTCAACTTGAAATGTAAGTTAGGAGGTGTGAATACAGACGACAAGAAGCATAGAAACAAAATACTACACAGGATTAGAATATAATTGTAAAGTGGTTATTCTAAACGGACTAGAAGTGTGATCAGGAGGAGCATGGAAACAAACTTAAAATAACTGTTCTTATAACTGAAAAAAAGGATGAATTGAATGAAGACAAAATGAGAGAAATACACACACAGTGAACAAAACAAAAAAACCTAAGCCTAAGGGAACATACCGAATTAGGTCCATGGTAGTTGTAAAGGCTGGACTAGTTTCTTTTGAACACACAGCTCTGGCTTTTCGATGCATATGGCGAGAGCTTCTGCAGTACAAAGAAGTCGCAAACACACTGACTGCTTTTGGTAGATTTTTGTTTATCTGTCCTTCACGTTGCTCCGAAGTAGTAGGCGGCTAGAGAATATCACTCTGAGAGTTGCTGCAGCAAAAGTCTCCTTCAGGGAATTGGAGATTCCCTTTCTAAGGATGTCTACTGCTAGGTCTTCCCTGAATTCCGAATTCAAATAAAGTGTTTTCCTTGACACTGAAGTGTATTCTTCTCTTTTTGGCTTTGGTTTCATGGTGGGTATCCATTTTGAACCAGGATGCTTTTAAGAAATAGGAACTCCTCTTCTAAACAGTCATCGCTACAAGTTCTTCTGGTACGGTGGACACATACAGAGATTTGCTTTGTTTAGATGAATTCCGATTGCTTTTTCTATTGTAAAAGGTTGGGTGATATACGATAAATAACTTTAGAATTTTTGTTAGAGTCAACTTGATGTCCAATATCTACGAGATGAGCTCGTGTATTGAGCTAAATATAGCTTTATTGAGACCTCTGCCAAATCAAGATGAAAGGTGTTCACAAATTCGACGGTGAACTTGCTTGATAGTACGCCCTATGTAACTGGCTCTGCACTGGCAGTTAAACTGGTGAATACAAATAGAAGAGGCGAAACAGAACAGTTTGTCTTTCATTCTTGAACTAAGTACTGTCTGACTAGGGAATATACAGCATAACATAGCTGCATTGAAAGTCCTTTTGAAGGACTTTCTCAGACGTTGTGATAAAACCCCACTATTGACATTACTTGGTTCATATAAGTTTTGATGTAAAAACAACTATATATATATATATATTAAGTAATTATATCCAGTGAGGGAATTAAATTAAAGGTGTGAATACATGAAATAATAATTATAATATGAAATGCAATTAAAATATTTGTGATTATAACCATAGTTCAAGTGGCAAAACAATTAATGTCACATATTTAGAATAATTCATAAGATATATAAATGTTTGAAGGCGTTGTATAATTATAAAATTAGTAGGCGAATATAAAATGTTACATAACATGGTGTGAAATTCGATAAGATAGAATTCAACAGTGTAAAACAAATTTTGGATTTAGAATGATAAGTGGAAACAATTCAAAGTGAGAATAGTAATAATAATATTAATAGTCGTAGTAATGGGGGCAATGTACATAGATTAAATAAATTAACAAAATAAATAAATTAAAAGTCAATCTGAACGAAGAATATTCTTTTCAATAATTTCTCTTCAGGTTCTTACAATTATAAAATATATTATATTTGTTGTCGTTACCATCAAGGCCAGTTATGCGGCAGATACATTTTTAACGTAGAATAACAGATTAGTTATGGGGTGTCAAAATAAATAGTCGTATTTGTGTGACAAACGTGCTAGGCTGAATTCGATTACAAAATATTGTAAAACGGGAGACAATGGTCTTACTATCTCCTGTTTAACACAGACCACTTTGTACTAGCCACTCACCTGACACCTTTTATAACCTTGAACTGACTTGTCAATTTTCCTACCCCACACTCTACAAATCTATTATGATTAATCACCATTGTCTCCCGTTTTACAATATTTTGTAATCGAATTCAGCCTAGCACGTTTGTCACACAAATACGACTATTTATTTTGACACCCCATAACTAATCTGTTATTCTACGTTAAAAATGTATCCATCGCATAACTGGCCTTTATTGTAACGACAACAAATATTATATTTTATAATTGTAAGAACCTGAAGAGAAATTATTGAAAAGAGTATTCTTCGTTCAGATTGACTTTTAATTCATAATATGGGAATTTTCCGCACTATCAAATAAATAAATAAATGTCTGTCCCTATACAGCCAAGGCAGAAGTAGGGATTTTACATACTTCTTGTGTACACAAAGGTGAGACTGGCTTAAATTCATGAATAGCCAAGGCCTCGGCTGTCTTTAGAAGTTTATAACGAAGAAAACGCGGTAAGTTTGCATGGATTCGTTAGATAATCTTAAAATCATGGTAAACTGAACGCTAGCGTTTATAAAAGGCAAAGGCAACGCACTGTAGGAAATATTTAGACTTTAATTCATCTCATCCTCCGTTAACTGTTAAGGCAGGCTTAGGTAAGTGTCAAACAAACCTAGCAGTAACACTAAGCAGCACAAGAAAAGACCTAAATGATGAAATAAAACAGATAGAAGAGGCGTTGGTGTTCGATAACTATCCTACGAAATTCATTAGGAAGATCAGAAAAGGTCAAAAGCAAAATAAAAATAGCGGGGCAACTAATAATGAAAACATAAATAAGAGAGAATATACGGCATCTACTGTTATACCATGTAAGTAGGGGACATCTGAGGCACTACGTAGGATTCTTAATAAAGCAAGAATTAGGGTAGCATTCAGACATACAAAGTCACTCAGATAGGACAAGCTCCGTAGGCTAAAAGACCCAGTGGACCCAATTAAACAAAACAATATAATTTACAAAATACTTTGCAATGATTGTAAGTTAACTGAACTACATGGGTCAAACTAGTGGGTCAGGAGTAGTCAGATTGTCAGAACGTAAAAATTTACCTAAGGCTAGAATGATTGATCCTACGAAGATAAGTAATTTAGAAAAAAACTCAGCTATACCACTGCATGCATTAACACACAACCACACAATTGACTGGGTGGGACAGAGTCAAAATTCTAAGAAGTAATATAGGTAGGTGGAGATAAATAGAAAGGGATTGATTACTGAATCCTGGTTCATCTAGTCTACACCCAACACATGCAACAGAAATGACTCAACGCAAATACCAGAGATATGGAAGATATTATTACCACCAGTTAAATCAGAGGATAATTAATAATGTTAAAGTCAATTTCATCAATTCACATTATAACATTCGAACAAGTTACTTATTTTTACTGTAAAAAACATCTTATTTCCCATCCTTATGTATTTGGCTGACAACACTAATATTATTTCTGAATGTACTTTATCTTATATTGATTGATTTTATTCAAATGTCTGATCATCAAGTTTTACTCATGTATATAAATGAAGCAAGGAAGTTGTGTGAGTAGGGCCTTGATAAGATTATGAGCGGCAATAATTTGTGCTGGAAACGTGGTCATCAGTAAATATTACTGTATAACAACACTGTGATTTTATCAAAATGAAATCTTATCCATAATGAGATACCTACGATGATAATACTACTACTACTAATAATAATAATAGATTTCCCCTTTTTTACAGGTTAGACTTTATACTGAATTTTCGCAGAATTATCCTTCTACACGTATACGTAATCTGTCAGTTCAAATCGATGCCAGTTCACATGCAATACGATCAGTTACAGATTCTGAAACATGTTTTCAATCTACAGTGAGTCGCATAAACAACAAAAATATTCTTTGTTCCTTCTCATGCCCTTTTTTTCTATTTTTTAAAATGTTCTTCGAATGAGTTGAACTGATTTTACATAACACTATATACTACTGACTAATTGGGAGGGGGGTAGTTGCATACCACTTATATCAACCAGTAGTGAATGCTACTATTTATCCCAATCAATCAGTAGTAAATAGTTTTATGCAGGAAAATAGTTGAAAATTTATGAATTCAAAGGTCCGACAGTAGGTCAGAGTAACGGTAGTGGCTGGCACGATCGACCTGTTTCTTTTGCACGCTGAGCTCCGGTTGACTTGAGCGAACTGCAATGGCCTCTGCTGTTTGCAGTATTCGCTATCTAGAGGCCTTCAACTTGCCAGCAAACTGTCAAAGCATCACAAAGCGTAACGTCGTTTGTCGATAAATGCAAGAGAAAAAATCAAATCAGATTTGCAGTATAAAATGACGTCATTTCATTCCACAGGCTGTCTGTCATCAGCTGCAGACTACCTGAATTGAGACGGTAACAACAGAGTGGAAATAACCCTACTTCAACGTTAGAACGATTTTTATTAGCTGTGACAAAATGTAAGCATGACTACCTGTTTAGTTCCAGTCCTCACCAGGACAGAAAACGCGGATGATTTGAAGACAGGAGACAGAAAACAGAAGAATAAACACTGCTGGCATTACAGAGGTTACATTACAACTCAAGAAAACTATGTGGCTCATATGTTTCAATTCAGCTCAGTAAAGGGAAATCTGTAATATGGATAACTGTATAACCTCCCTTAGTTTACTATTTTTTTAGCCAGTCCTAAGCCAGGGAAGACAGGGAAGGTTCGGTGTAGGACAGGCGAACCTACCCTGCAAAAATTGACCTAGTCGCTCTTGAAACTTCGAAGTATACGATTGTGTAATCAATGAAGTCAAAGTCAAGATACCCTTAGTAAGGAAGTTAGAGACAGGCAGACAAACAGACCGCACTCTCATTATGTATGCATAAGGCACCTTGGAAACAATACACTGCAATCTCTTCAGTAAATCGTTGTAAATCAAGTGTCTTCTGGACATGTAATATTTTAAAGGATTCAGGGATCTCGAGAAAGTGTCCTGTGTAACGTCCGATATTGACGTGTTATACTCCGAACACGGGAAATCAATCTTCGCGTTCTACTGAATAGCTAACCAGAAGTTATATGAGTCATGAAATGCAACAAAAGACAGTTACTTTCAACAAATTCTCCAGGAACAATTCAAAAATCATCACAAAATCAAAACTCAGGATTATCTCAACACTGCCGATAGACAATCATACAGATCCAATAGTTTCTCAGGTACAAAACAAGCACTGAAGAACAAAATTGGTTAACTAAAATTTAACCTAAAGAAGTGCCTGAGAATCAGGTAGAATATTCCAGACAACGGGTGAGATCGAAACTCTGTCAGCAAGAATCACACACACACACAAAATAATTCCCACAGACACTTCAACGTCAGAATGATGACCTTCACTCACTCAAATTGAATCACAGTCATAAAACAACACATCGTCAATCTCATCATGAGACATCCACAAAGAGAAGCAGTGAAATTACAGAATAAACAGGAACAATGAGAAACAATGAGGATTCCGTCAGACATGTCAGACGACATGCAAATGTCAGAACAATGATATTCACTCGAGGAGAGCAAGGAGGAATCATAATTACAAAGTTAGCAGGAACACCTAAATAAGTAGCGATATCGTAACTAGATCGCTCGTGAGGGATTTTCCAAACACTTATTCCGTCACACTCTGTATCCACAAGGTGTCTGATAATTACTCTTTATGAAGATGCTATTTGGGGCGTCGGTGGCACAGCGGTAGAATGCTCGCCGACCACGCAGGTGGTTCGGGGTTCGATCCCGGGCCGACGCACTCCCAAACCTCGCTAAGTCAGTAATAAAACTGATAATGAGGGAAGGTTGGACATGAGGCTAGCAACCCTATCCTGTAAAAAATAAAAATATCACTGCTACCAAAATTTCAAGCCTCTAGCGGCATGAAGTTATTTTGAAATAAACTTAGAAAACCTGAAGACAAAACTCCTTCAGATATACTTAACACATGTTGGCGAGAGAACAGAGGGCGAGAACACGGCTTTCTGGTCCAGTCATTGTAATTTCACGTAGTTGGAAACTGTTTAGAACTTGTGAAGTGAAAAAAGATATGACGTCATCTTATACTACAAACATTTGGTATTGTTTGTTTTCTGTTATTGAAATTTATCAAAGGTATCATGTGTAACATTGTTTCTCAAATAGATTTAACAAGTTTAGTAAGAAGTATGTAGATTATCGATCAGTTCACTTGTTTATTTATTCACTTGTTTTAAAGTGATCGATAATTGTATTTATGCCTGTGTATACATGTATCAGCCCTTTTTCTCTGAATAAAGGTCTTTGTCTTTCAGTCAGTGTTAAAAGTAGCATATATCTATAACTCACAAAATTTACTGGAAAGAGTATATTTAAGTGTTAGGTTGTAGAGACCTGATTGGTTTCAAGTATGATTACGTGCTGATATCAAGCTGAGAACAAGGGAAAATCAAGACGGAGTACTGAACAGTTGTTTCATCCCAAACTGGGACTCACCGACAGTATGCACCCACCAAGTGTTCGAAGCCAAGAATTTCCGGCTACATGGCAAGCTCGTAAGCTATTCAGTCACTGGGACCTCAGCCAGCAGCCCATGAACTTTAACTTCTGCTGATTCGTGATTTTAGTGGAACCACCAGGCAATGTCACCGGTGAGTACTTGGGCTAATTTCAAACTCTAAGGTTTTCCAATGAATCTCTAACCGCTTTCGGCCGATGATGAAATCTTGTAACTCATATATTCCGTAAATACTCCTTATTTTCAAAAGAATGTTTACTGAACAAAGAATAATCTTTTCGATAACTTCATCATCAGGTTCTACAGTTATATATACATTCTAGTGAATGAATTAGTGTTATTAACAACACTATTGTTTAAATAACATCGAATCAGTAATAATAATATGAATAGATTACGGTTTAATAGCATCATCATAACAATAAACTGAATGTCAGAAAAATTAGGAAAGATAATAATACAAATTCATGAATTTATAGTGTCTACTGAAGACTGGCCAGGGTAGTAGTAGTAGTGGCTGGACTTGCTTCTTCTCCATGCAAACCATTGGTTATTTCACTTGAATCACGATAGTTTCTGCTGTTTGGGGTATGCGGTACTTCGATGTTTTTGCCAATTTATTTAGTAACCGGTAGATGATAGAGAAGGATTCTTCAGTGCTGGCTTTGTGACCGGTTTGGACCAGATGGTCTAATATCTAACTGTTGATGGTTTTTACTACACATTTACTTAGCCATACTGGGAGATGTTCCCGATCAATCAGGAAAAATCAAGTTCCTAGAGCAACGACCGATATAACTCGCTCCATCACAAGCGTAGTTGAATTGGTAGATACAACTGGAAGTGGCTAGCTAGTCTAGGAACTTCATCTTCAGCTCTGGGATTCAACATCAGTCGTGTACAAAATAAGACTTGTAATTTACCAGCATTAAAAGTTCTTTGAACGGATTTTCCTAATTTCTTCATAATCATTTCGCTTGGTAATTCGCGCTTGAATTGCAGTCGCATATGTAAAGTCTTCTTCTTTGAGGATATTGAGTAGTCCTTATTTTTCCAAAATTGTGCATTACGCAATCCACTTGTTTAATTTTAGCAAGCGATCGTCAACCTCTAGTCCTCGTGTACATACAATCAACTTTCATCGGCCATATATCTTAGGCATAAAAAAAGAGATTGTGAAAAGCTGTGCAGTACACATTCACACTTTGACAGTCAGCCAAAAGTTCTCTTTTGGCTCATTTGATTGAGAGCGGTCACCAACGGGGACAGAAGTAGTGCCTTCAAAGTTATCTATCGCATTCCATCGAACCTTTCAAAAGGAATTTGAACCCGCTTTTTGCACATAGCTGAAGCTATGGGAATTAATTCGAGAGAACAATCCTAGTATTTGCATACAATAAAAGAAGTTTGCTCTACCTTTGCTTCTCCCACCCTTAGCCTAGGTGAATTCTAGTCAAAACCCTCACACCCTTTCTTATTTTCCATCTCCTTCGTACTTTTATGGTATTTATTTAAACTCTGATTATCTGTCCAATTCTCCTACCTTAAGCACTTCGTAACATTTAAGACTTGACCTAATTTATTTATTTATTGAATTGTCTACATATATACACATATATTACTACTTTCGTTGTTTTTATCGCCACCTGCATAAAACTTATTGTCATTATTTTGTTATCACTATAATCATCGTTATTACTGACGTTCAAAACATTTACATTATTATCATCATTAGGGTCGTGCTAAATCACGAATTGGTAGAAGTTAGAATTCATGATGCAGTGAGTCGGGTCCCAGTGGCTAAATGATATACGAGCTTGCCCTGTACCCGGAAGGTCCTGGGTTCGAACCACAGTGCGGTGGGTGCTGACCAGTACTCCCTGCCGGTTTTCAGTGGTTCTCTAACTGATATCAATCCGTGATCAGATCCCAAAAACAAAAGTAATCCTTGCAAACCAATTACAGGAAATTATCATTATTATTATTTGATCCACAAAATCACCGTTATCGATTTTACAGAATTAATTATAAAACAAAACTCAAGACAAATCAGGTGCATTGTAGCTTTAATGACTGAACAAATTTCTTTTGTATGCAGAGTTCAGCATTTAACACGTGAATTGCCATTGCTTCTGCTGTTTGAAGAAATTTGACTCCTACTCTCTTAGCAAGATTCCCGCGTATTCTGTAGAAGACTTCGAAGTTGGTTTGTTAGTTAGCTCGGTGGACATCAGAGTTGATCGGGTGCACCAGGTTAGAGGTTTGGGAAGATTCCTTTTCTCCTTAATAAACCACTGATATCGACAAGTAGTGCTTACTAGTGGCTCGTTTGAGG